ATGTGATTCATTTAAAATAAAACTAGAAAATGAAACGGATGATCATAAAAAGCAACTTTTACAAATTGAACTCGACACTCATCAGGATTTGGCCCAAAAATCACGAGAAACATTAAAGGCAGATTTAAAACGAGCTAAAGATGAGGATAATGTAGAGTGTTTAACATACGATCTTCAAAAAACTCTACCTTTACCCAAAATTCCAACCAATGTAATATATTATAAGAGGCAAGTTTGCTTGTATAATCTCGGTGTATTTTCAGGCAAACGTAATAAGAGTTATTCCTATGTATGGCTTGAAGGAACTGCTGGAAGAGGAGCTCAGGAGGTTGGTTCCTGTATTGTAAAATATTTAGAAAACATAGAAAGTACTGTTGAACATCTTATATTGTGGTCTGATTCTTGTGGAGGCCAGAACCGTAATATTAAAATAACACTCCTCATGGCCAGTCTTCTTCAAACCAGCCATAATATAAAAACTATAACATTTAAATTCCTGATTTCCGGCCATAGTTTTCTACCAAATGATAAAGATTTTGGGGATATAGAATGTCAACTCAAACGTCAAGAACGAATATATACACCTTTAGACTATATAAATATAATAAATTCATGTCGTAAAAAGTCTCCAATAACAGCTACACAAATGAAAAAGGAATGGTTTTTGAGTACCCACCAGCTCGAGAAGGCCACAATAAACAGAAAAGTTGGCACCAATAAAGAAAAAATAAATTGGTTGGAGACAAAACAAATTATATTAACAAAAGAAAATCCTTACCACATCTTTATGAAACCTAGTTATTTTGGCGATGAAAGTGTATGTTTGGATATTGAGCGACGAGGACGATTAAATACAGAGAGCTTTTCGGCGCTGCTTATGCAACTCTGGCCCAATGGTAAACCCCTGTCAGAGGATAAAATTAACGATATTAAAAGCTATTTACATCTAATTCCTTCAGACGCTAAACCGTTTTATGAAAATTTTACAAGTGCTAATGTAGTCGAAGACGTTGATGGATTTAATGTTCCAGTTCTAGATTTTGAGGTAGATACCCACAATAATTAAAACTTTTTTTAAATTTACATTTACATAAGAAAATCATTGTAATTTTGTTTCTTTGGATCATTAAAATTTTTATAAAAATATGACATTATTTATTTATCTGAAAGATTCCAACCCACATAAGTATGTTTTATCGAAATTTTTTTCGGATTTTTGTTTTTTGTTAAAAACGTCCAACCTAAAATTTTCAAAATAACTTCATTGAAACTTACATTTAAAAGAAATTACAAACGAGGTGCCTACGAGATGAATATCATTATCTTAAAATCATTGCCAGGCGAATAAATTATGCATAGTTTAGCTAGGGCACACTAAAATCTTTTAAACTCAATTTCCCAACAATCACTTTTTTTGGGTTGGACGTTTTCTGCTTAACTACGTCCAAATGTAAATAAGATTACTTACCCGTCTGATCTCGAGCCGCCAATTCTAGTAAGAAACGAGACCGTTTCATTTTTACACTTCTTGTCTAACTTGAAACTACACACTACACATGTATTTAAAAGTTTTCGAAAGTAAAGATCAATGTGCTTAACAAAAAATGTCTTACCAAGCAAATAACAATACAATAACCCGATTTAATAATTGGCAACATCGCCGGGCTGCGGACACGCATAAGGGCATAATGATTAGTATATAGACGGGATTCGAAAAATCCGTCATATATTTGAGGATTCCTTTAATATGTATGTCATATTATTTTAGTATATGTGAAAAATACCTCCCTTCTTACGTTGCGATGTCGGGCCACCTCTAATCTGTATAATATACCGGGGTGGGCATCATCTGTAATAGCCGTATATATATATATATATATATATATATATATATATATATATATATATATATTTATATATATATATATATATATATATATATATATATATATATATATAGTGTTCAAAACAAAAATGATAATAACCCTAAAAAAATACAAAAAATTGGACTTGGTTCAAATGTATTCTAAAGAATTTTTGGAAGATAATGAACCTACGCCAAATGTTGTTAATATTAAAACTAAACATCACTTCTTAGGCGAAAGGAAAAGTTAATTAACATAAAAAAAAAACGAATCGTGCGTCGGTATTATTTCCTTTAGTCGCTTTCTTGTCCGGGGTTTGCGAGTTGACTGATTCCCTGGAAGGTTTCGGAAGTATCCATGATGAATAGGGGGTATGTAAGGTAATGTGAGGTAGCAGAGACAACATGTCCTCCTTTTTTTTTTAATTCATTTGTCTTTTGGTTAAGTAAAGCTGATCCTGCTGTACAGTCAACAAGGCTTGCAGTTTCACGGGTCTTCTAGGCCATGTTTTACTTATCTTTTTCGAGATGTCCAAGGTTCGGAAACTCGAAATTTTACTGAAAGAATTATTTATTTTTATTTGAAAAGGTGTTCCTTTTTTAAACATCAATAATCGTATCTTAAGCCAATTGATTTGTCTACATTCAGTGTCCTTTTTTTTTATTTGTGACTAAATCCTTCCAGGGGTTTTGTGCTCATAAAAAATTGAAAATCCTCGTGATTGTCTTAGTAAGTCTGACTATTTTGGTACGCCTTTAGTAACTTTTCAGAATATTTTGTACTCAATGTCTTTCAGCACCCAAGCCGTGCATGGGTGATGGTAGCTTATAGCACCTTTACCACGGTTTGTTCTAACTCTATCGAGACCTATTTACGCTTTTCTTCAGAGTTCAAAACCAGATGTTTTTTTTGTACTAGATCGTACATTCTGTACGTCTGGCGATAATTTATTCTACCATTATATCTGCCAGATACCAGTAACATCGACCTTTGCCTCAGATAATTTTTGGCTGTTGTATGGATGTTTGGACTGTAGTTTTTGCCACACAAAAGTTTTTTGGTTAATGCTAACGATGCTGTTTAACTGTCCTTTATTCTTGTTTATATGAATGATTTCGACCAAATAGAAGCGGTATATTATAATATGACTAGACAAAGTTATTCTGCACTGTTGTTGCACCTGCAATATTGTTACTAAAATTAAATAAGTATGCTAGTTAGTAGTAGAAGGTGACTAAACAAAAAAGCAGTCCGGCTTTTGTTATATCCGCTGTCGCAGTCTCTAATGATTTTTAAGTGTGATTGGGAACTGGTGTTACTGCACTTTCTCCTTATCTGCAGTCTTCTAACCTAGGTGAGGGCAAATAGCTTCTGCTGCTCAGCCATACCCCCCTTCGAACAAGATTAAGGAAGACAGGGAAGATAAGGGGTGTAAAGCTAGTTCGCGTCCGTAGTAGAACACTACACGTGCACCCTGGGTAACGCTAAATGAACTAGCACAAAAGCTGCCAGACAATCTTGAATCTCCTGGCAATTCAAATATCACAGAAAATCTTTCCAGAAATGACACTTGTAAACGGACCTTTAGGACATCTATTAAATAGTTCTGTTAGTAAAGGGATTGTTAATGTCTTGCTTGTTTTTAAGAGCTCGGCAATTATACCGTCGTGTCCCGGAGCTTTATTATTTTTTAGTTCTTTTAAAGCTCTGTCTATTTCGTATCCCTTTATATTTGGTAGTACTTCTGATCCCACGTTTTTTAATTTTCTTTTGACGTTCGTCTTTGTTGTTTCATTAGGCTGGTCTTCTTTTACCTTTTACCTTTATTTGTCCTTCTCTACCTTATTGTTAGCGACTTTAATTTTGATGATTTTTTGAACTCCTAGTGCGGGTCTTAGACATTTTAAGCCTCTGTTGTTTTCAATGACTTGCTCTATTAAGTTCTCGTTCCATTTTTGTATGTCGCGTTTTAGTTCTTTTCTAATTGTTTTATTAAGTTCTCTATATTCTTGAGTATGGCGTTTGCTTTGCGCTAGTAGTTGTCTTCTGTCCGTCATTAGCTGTTTAGTTTTATTGCTTATTTTGTCTTCTTTAGTCCTTGTTTTTTTTGCGACCTGTAGTCCTGCTGCGAGAAGGTTTTTATTTAGGTTTTTATTAATCTCGTCAATTTGATCTTGATTATGTGAAGGATCAGATTTGAACTTATCCGCTAAGACCTCTCGGAGTTGCTCTTCATTTGTTCTTAGTTTAAAGGCATCTATCCTCGTTGTTTTTTTTTAAACCTTTTTCTCTCTTCTGTTATGCTAATATTTATTTTTGCTCTGACTATATGATGGTCACTGCCCATTGTTACGTTGTTTATTGTTGTGACGTCTTCAAATATTCCTTTGTTGTTTGAGAGAAAATAGTCTATTTCATTTTTGGTAGTTCCGTTAGGTGCGACGCATGTCTACTACTTTTTGTAGAAGGTATTCATAACATACATGTTTTCTTGTTCCAGGAATTCCATGAGTTTTTCTCCTCTTGTGTTTCTTGTGCCTAATCCAAAGTTTCCAATCTTGCTTTCAGAGTCTTCAATCTTACTTCCAATTTTGGCGTTAAAGTTTCCCATTATTATTATTTTGGATTCTTTGTTGTTGTCTATAGCTTTTTTAACGTCTTCGTAAAAAGAAATTATTTCCTCATCGGTTGCTTTTTCAGTTGGAGCATAAACTTGCACGATCTTCATTTTAGTTTTTGGATTTAGTTTTAAGACCATGTATGTAACCCTGTCTGATATGCTGTCAATTATTTGAATTTGAGATTTTATCTTCTTGTTGATTAAGAAACCTACTCCACCGTATGTGTATTCTTCCCTGCCTTTATATATATATATATATATATATATATATATATATATATATATATATATATATATATATATATATATATATATCTAGATGTTGTATTTTGTAGGATTTTTGATGGCCATCTATTGTGCTACGCTGTAACGGAATTAAACCTTACCTATTTGATTTTTATTTTTATCGAAATATTTTTATTATATTAAAAAAATGTACTTTTAAAAAATAAATTATTACTTTATTGAAGAAACTTTTACAAAAGTATCTGTGAATTTATTGTGTATATTCATAATAAATTTTTATTTACGCATATGGACCATTAAAAAAGCTATCCACCAGTGCGACCAGACGTTTCACATATTCATCCCGTGATTTTATTTTCAGATCATTATTGAAACCTGCGAAGAACTCGTTGCTTTCTTCATCAACGAGCGCTGGCGTCTCATCGTTGTCAAGATATAATAGCTCTAAGAAAGGCAGTGTTATAAGTACGCCATAGGGCATGTATAATTTTAAATGTTCTTCAAAAATTCTTCGCGAGAATACCTCCTCAGGATCACTACCTAATTCTTTTAGATATAAGCAAAACTCAGTATAGTAATATTCTACAAAATCTTTTAGTTTTGGAAATTCAGTTGGTGATAAATTCATGTATAGAAAATAGGACAAATCGATTACTGGCGAATGAAGGCAAACTGCTTGGAAATCTATCAAAACCATGTGAAGTGGAACTGATTTATCATTATCCTAAAAAAAATAAAATTTATTAATTTTATCATCTAACAGCAACTGAGAATAATCTCAGATACATTTTAGTTGCCTTATAGTTATTTTCAGTCAAAAATGTAAACAAAAATTTAAAAAGGAACATGAAGTTCAGTTGGGCATTTCAGTATACCTAATCTTGACGTCCGAACAACGCTTTCAAATTGTACAAATGTATTTTGAAAATTGTGGTTCTGTTCAAAACACGTATCGAGCACTACGTACATTTTATGGTCAACATAATAGTCGATCAGAAAAAGTAATTTGATTAACCATGAAAGGTTTTTGAATTAAGTTTTGTCTAAATGATAACGCATCTGTCGCATCCACCGACATGTCATACAGCGCGTACAAAAGAATTTGTTGCCTAGTCTACTTGCCATCGTGCACAGCAGTTGGATACGTGTCCATTCACTTTATGGAAGATTTTGCGGAAAAATCTTGCTTTTATTGCTTACAAAATTCAACTCATTCAATTTCACAAGAATTGATGGTTCATCGAAATTGATTCCAAATTTCATAAGCGAATTTTGTTTGCGATGTAGTCACTTTTGGTTGAATTTCTACATCAACAAACAAAACTGCTATATTTGAAGTTAAAATAATTCTCAAATGTATGTTGAGAAACCATGACATTAAAAAAAACTACTGTTTAGTGTGCTTTGTGGTCTGGTGAAATCATTACACCATACTTCTTTAAAAATGATGTGTCCAGAAGGTTACAGTCAATGGTGACCGCTATAGAGCCATAATTACTGCCATTTTTATTACCCAATGAAACAACTATGATCTGCAGGTGCTGTCTTTTTCATGAGATGGCGCAACATGTCACACAGCTTGAGCAAAATTAATTTATTGAAGAAAACGTTTGATAATCGCATAGTTTCACTTTTTGGACCGTGAATTGGCCTCCTATATCGTGCGATTTAACACTGCTAGACTATTTTAGTGCATATCCGGTCTCAGTTTTCGTGTAGGAGGAGCTCTGAACTGAGTAGGGGCTATTCTGTACTTCACAGAAGACAGACTGGGCGGGGGATGTCCTCAACCTCGACACCGTACGTCCCATATGGCTGATAGGGAAAGTTCCTGCAGATATGCAGGACAGGTACGAATAAGGCATTGCCAAATAAGTATCCGCGGATCAACTAAGGATATGACATTGGGCAGCAGTGATGTCATTACTAGATTAAGGCTGTGGGAAGTAAAAATCCTATAGGCTTAATTCCAGATACTCACAGGCGTCACTCACATTATGAGTTAAGCGGCTGTCATACTGTAATGGGGAAGGCAACGGGAAACCACCCCATTATGGTCCCTAGTAAAGTTATCATGGAATCAATGAGTGTAACGAATATTACTGATCATGGGCTGCGGAACTCAAGATCCGGCAGGGGAAGGAATACATAATCAAACCACAGGGCTACCCAGGTCGCTAGCCAGCGAAATCCCTGTGAGCAAAACATCACTAGATATACGATGAAAATGAAGAATCCATATAATGCAGCTACATGGAATGTAACAACTTTATATGAAGCCGGTAAGTTGAGAAATCTACTCTCTGAAATGGACAGACTAAACATTACTATCATGGGGGCGAGTGAAACAAGACGGCCAAACAAAGGAAATTTCATTGCAAATGGTTACGCCGTTTATTTTTCTGAAAATCAAGACCATATGCATCGAAATAGTAGCAATAATTATCAAAGAGCATATTAATAAGTATGTAAATAACTTCATCCCAATATCAGACAGAGTAATTTTAATACAGCTGAATGCTAAACCTGTAAATATAAATATCATCCAAGTTTATGCTCTCACTACTGACGCAGATGAACAGAATATTGAAGAATTCTACCATCAGATAGAAGAAATGCTAAAAATAACAAAGAAACACGAAGCAATAATAATTATGGGTGACTTTAACGCTAAAGTTGAACAAAAGATAACGCAGGGTATCACCGGAAAGTTTGGCTTGGGAGAGAGAAATCAAAAAGGTGAACGTCTAATAGAATTCTGCCAAGAAAATGACTTTGCCATTACAAATACCTGGTTTCATCTTCGAGAAAGACGTCTTTACACGTAGAAATCCCATTAAGATGGACATCAAGGAAGAATAGTACAAAACCAAATAGACTACATCCTAATAAACAACCGATTTCAAAACAATATTAAAGATGTAAAAACTTACCCCGGCGCTAACATAAACTCAAACCACAATTTACTCTGCTCCAAAATACAAATTAAATTAAAGAAATTAACAAAGCTAACTAAGCCTTGTAAGATATATCGACCCCCTGAAACACCCACAAACGCGCGAACACATATCACAGCAGACAAATAGTAAAATACACAGAATATGAAATATACCAAACGAAAGCAGATCCATTAACGAATGCTCGTATGATATTCAAAACTCGATTTTAGAGAACGTACAGGAGACTTTGAAAACACCTACCATGTTGGCAAAAAATGAGTGGATGACACAAGAAATTCTAGACCTGATGGAAGTTCGACGGCAACACAAAAATAGAAATATTATCGACTACCGCGAAATCAATAAATGCATAAAAAGAAAAATTAAGCAAGCCAAAGAATCCTGGCTTGAGAATTTATGTAAAGAAATAGAAGACCTCCAAAAAAAGCATGACAGTTTCAACCTCCATAAAGAAACTTAAATATACTGCCAGAATTAGAAAACAGAAAAATGCTCACATACTTAAAAGCGCGAACGGAAAAATTTGTGATCACGAACAACAGTGCAAAGAATGGGAGAGATACATCACTGACCTTTTTGACGATGCTTCTAGAGAAAATGTTCCAAATACTGCCAGTATACTCAATTCGGAAGTCAAAAAGGCAATACAGCAAGCCAAAAACAATAAAGCGCCTGGACCAGATCAAATCCCTGCTGAGCTACTTAAACTTTTGGATGAGGAAAGCATTGCCTGCTTAACCACTTTCTTCAACAAAATTTACAACGAAGGAAAAATACCAGATGATTGGTTAGGGTCACTGTTTAAAACATTACCAAAGAAAAGCAACCCCAACAAATGCAGCGATTTTAGACTAATCTGTTTGATGAGTCACACACTGAAGATACTCTTACGAATTATACAAAACCGAGTATTCCTTCTATGCGAAAGTAGGATGGGTAATAAGCAATTTGGATTTAGAAAAAATTGGAGACAGTCCGACTGAAAAAATATCTATCAAACGTGGAGTACGGCAGGGTTGTGTTTTGTCACCTACTCATTTTAATCTGTCCTCTGAAGAAATCTTTAGGGAGGCTTTGGATGACAGACAAGAGGGAGTAAGACTAGGTGGAGAAGTAATCAACAATATTAGAAACGCTGACGATACAGCCATTCTTGCAGAAAATTTACAAGATCTCCAAACATTACTAAATCTAGTAGGTGAAACAATTTATCGGAGAGGCCTTAAAAGCAACATTTCAAAGACAAAGTGGATGGCAGTTGGAAAGATCAATATAGATCAATGTCTGATTTCTCTTAATGGAGAGGAGATCGAAAGGGCAAATCATTTCAAATACCTTGGCAGCTGGTAAAATATACATTGTGACTCTGATGAGATAATAACCAGGATCGAATTATCACGTAAGGCTTTTATGACGTGGAAACCAGTTTTATGCAACAGAAACCTGTCGATGAATATTAGTAAGAAGGTCCTAAAATATTATGTGTGATCCATCCAATTGTATGGTTGTGAGATATGGACGTTAAAAACCATAATGCTAAACAAGTTAGAAGCATTCGAATTGTGGTGCTATAGACGAATTCTAAAGATATCGTGGGTTTCGCACACTTCCAATGAAGATGTTCTTCAAATGATCAATTCAGAACGTCTGCTTATCAACACCATAAAGAGGAGAAAAACCGAATACTTCGGCCATATAATTAGAGGACTTGAATACCATCTACTTCGCCTTATAATACAAGGAAAAGTGGAAGGAAAGAGATGGATTGGTCGAAAGAAACTTTCATGGCTGCGTAATATTAGACAATGGTGTGGTTCCACAGTAAAAGAATTATTTCGCGCAGCAGCCGACAGAGAAAAGTTTTAGGAAATTGTAAACATGATGACGGCCAACGTTTGAATACGAACACGGCACCCAAAGAAGAAGAGAAAAAGACTATTTTATGTGAGGATATTGTGAAGGTGCTGGTCTACGCCGATAAGCATAAAACGGTTGGCCACTTGGAGAACAACATTTGCCGCGTTATTGCCGATATATGGCGACAAATATTTTAAAAACTGATCGAAAATGGGACCTCCAAATTAGAATACGTCAGATCCAGCCATAACGTTTTTATGCCAGAAATCATATTTAATTTTTAATGCCATAAGATGATCTTTCGAATAAAATCAATTTCATGTCAATTTATAAAAATCATCTTTGTTTTTTTTTTTCATTTCAAAGTTCTATACCTATGACAAAAACACCCTTATCATCCCATCAATGTTAGCTAGCATCGTAGTTTGTTTCAGGTTTATTGTATGTCCTGTGTGTGTGTGACATATTGGGTAAGGGACAACGTTTTTTATTTCTTAATTTTTATGTTCTTCATCTGTCAGTCTTTCGGATAGTGTCATCAGGATTTTAGTCACTGAATGTAATTGTGCAGGATGGTAATGTGAATTGGCATGTAGGTATCTTTCTTTCTTCTTTATTATTAACACATCAAAAAATGTTAGTTGTTCGTTTGCTTCCAGTTCCATCGTAAACTGGATTTGATGGTGTATATTATTGATGTATTCTAAAAATACCTTTAGAACACTCTTCTTTTCCATGTGTACAGGTTATAAAAGTATTATTCACGTACCTAAACCAAAATTTGTGTTTGTTTTCGGCTGTTTCTCCTTCTCACTGTTCTATTATTTCTTGCATAAACAAGTTTGCTATTACCAGTGACAGTGGTGAACCCATTGGTTTTCCTTCAACTTGGTTATATTTTTGCGCC